ACTGCAGTGCCAGTACAATAAATACATTGTCATCTAAAGTAAGCCATTGCACAAAAGATGATAAGGAACGAGGAACTATGATAAGTCATCCACAATATTGACTCTATTCTGAGTCAAATAGGGAAAAAAAACCTACTCCTTGAGGGAAGGGGAATATTTCCTTCTGAAACTCCGAACTGAGTTTTGTTCTTCCTCCCTCTTAGGCAATACAATGCAGGCACCTTCTTAGAAGCAGAGAATTGCCAGCTTCTGCTGATTTGCTGGTCTGCTGCTATTCTTGAACTGTAAATATTGCAGCAGAAGTATCAGTTGGACTTTGGCCCAGCTGAAAGCAAAATTCACACCTATGTGCAGGGAGAGAGAGGTGTGGAATTGTACTGAGGTATGGCTTGCTTCTAAAGAGGCCCCAAGGCATTGACTGGATAAATTACATTTCAGAGGAAGCATTAGGTGCTCCCATTAATCCTCTGAGACTAACGCAGAAGAAAATTATTAATATCAACCATCATCATACCTGAAGAAGCTACAGGTGAGAGGTAAGGTAGCTCCTCAAGTTTCACTAGGAATTACAGCAGTTTTCACTACTACTGTCTCATTTTAATCATCTCATTTAATCATGTTGTGAGAACTGATCGTAAGATTTGGAAAATACTCTGTAGAAACTATGGGATAATGTGATAAAAGCCTTGGAGTGGCTTAGATATTTCTGGAGGACATCTGAGGATAGTGTGGTAATAAGCCAAATTGTTTATTTCTAGACATAGCATTTGCTATTAAAAGGATTGCATATTTTTGCTAGCTCTTTTACATTCATACAGGTTTCCAATTCATTTCTGAGCACAGTTGAATGTACTTGTGATTTCAGCCCTCTTCAGCCAGCGCACCAATATTCAGGCACACATGGTCTTTGGTTCCTTCAAATAATTCCACCCACTTCCTATTATACCTGGGAATGCCCACCAAACTATCTCTCTGGGCATCTTCCTGAATTCACTTAACTTGTTTCTCCAGACTCACCTATTATTTGGACCATCTTGTTAAAGTGAGCCTTTTCCCTGGGTTTCCCTGTCTTTTCCTCGTTTCAAATTGTTGAAGTGCCATTCCAAAGGTTAAACTGATGCCAGGAATTTAATGGTAAATAGAACAAATACACCACCAAGCCTTTTCAGCTTTCCTTCCTCCAAAGGAGACCTAAAAAAGAAATACTGCTCCTGAAAATTCCCACTTCTGCTGAAAACAGGAGTATGAGATAGAATTCTTCCCTAACTCACCTTTGTCTCTATTTTGGTCTGCTGTGTTGAATTTCAGGATGAAAGCTCAGGGAGAACATCGAGTCCTCACTTCTTGAAAACTGCTATACACGTCAATGAGATATACAAAAATTAAGTACGGTACAAGCTGGTGGCCATGAGGGGCTGTATAGAAATAAAAATGCATTCCAAGGTTGGAATTGGAACTCCAAGCTTGGAGAGCCCTCCTTCCAGCCTGCAGCCAGTTGCCCTGTGCTTGCTGAGGCTCCAAAGCTGGATGGCTGTGCTGGGCAGAGGTATTCCAGGGGCTGTGGAGGGAGCCATCAGGCATCTCAGCCTTCCCACCTTACAAGCTGGGGTGAAAACACAGACAGCCAATTTTAGGCATTTTTCCTCCATAGGAATTCAGAGGATTATTGGCAGCCATGTAGACATCCTTTTTTCTTCCCATTATTCTTATTCTAATGGTGCTGCTTCTATGTTCTAGTTAAGATCACCCAAGCACTGCCAGAAAGTGTGGCAACGCAAACTTTTTTCCTACACAAGGTTTTTAATCAGGGTATCTTCTTCCAGCTTCAAGACAAAAATGAGGTCTGAGCTCTACACAAAAAAAGCCTTTCCTTTCCTGTGTTTCTGCTACATAACCTCTAGGTGGTGCTCTAGCAGAATAGTGCAAATAGGCATGTTGGAAAATACTTTTTCTTTCATATGTGGAAATAATACTCCATTTCTGCCACTCTAAAAATGGAAATGAGACCATGCTCTTAAAAAGCAAAACTGGAGAATCATGACATTATCTGAAGAACCTGAAAACAACCCTCAGTAATGAAACACAAATTCATAATAAATATCTTGTGGAGAAAAAGAACTCCTCTAATATTCAGGCTGAAGGAGATGAGAGTTCTCAAGATGTAATGAATGATTTAAGATGCTGGTGAAATCCGGAGGACTAAGAGGAAGAGGGCTTTGGGGTTGCATTTCTAGACTTAAGGACCAGAAAATGATACTAGCAATATTGTTTGACACTTAATAAGAAATTCTATTGCACATGCGCCAAAAAGCTCTGAAACTGAAGTAAAGCATCTGTTGCCTTGAACCAGCTGCAGCTGCACTACTTGAAGGACAAGCACAAGGTTTCAGAACCAGCCAGTAGAAGAGGTGACCATGCGAATTGCACACTCCTTGCAGCAATATGGCTGCTGCAGGTGACCACAGGACAAGGTGACTATTGATGGGGGATATGTTCAAGGAGTAATCCAAGGCTTAATTTGTAATGCAAAGGCTGTGCAGGTACTGCAAAGTCACATATTCCTCCACACAAGCACAGTCCATAAAATGAGCTCCGCTGAAAGCTGGAGATCACGACCAGCAGTCAGAACTATCCACCTATGAGATCCTATATTTACAGGACAGAAACTCAGACTAAAAATGGGTGGGAAAGTCGCCCTGCCAAGCTTATTTTTATGTCTAATTTGTACCTCTGGGAACCAAATACCATTTGGAAGTCTGCACAATGCAAACCCTGAAGCGAATCAAAATGAAATGAAATTAAAAGGTTTGTTAATATTTGTGCATTTGACAAACACAAGAAGAAAACTGCAACCTATTGTAAAATTCTAAATCATGCTTTAATCCAAAACTGCATCCATACAAAAGTGCTTTATTTGAAAAATACACCAACAAAAAGTGCATATCTGGAAAATAGTTAGAAAAAGAGCAAATGTCTAAAGGGGAAGGTCTGGAGCAGGATAAACTTGCAGGTGGAAAAAAGAAAATCAGTAAATCAGTTAGATCAAACTAACAAATCTGTCCATCAGAAAGAACAATAAAATACTCTCTAGTTTTACCTGGAAAAAAACAGAGTATAGATGGCCATAGAGGAGGTCCAAGTCCCGGCAGCAGCCTTGAAAGCAGACCCTGCGGTCAGAGCTGGGGCTCCAGCCTCAGACTGCCCTTCACCCTCGCACCTGACATGGACAGAACCGGGCTGCCTGCAGCTCCCACGTCACAAGGATGACCTTGGAGCTGGAGGACCTGGTAGCACTTCAGGGAAAGAGCAGCACAGAGGTGAACGTGGCTCCACACCCTTTGTTGGAAGCCTGCAATCCTCGGAGTCGGGAGACTTGGAGCAGCCATAACGAATATCCCTGATACTGCACTTAACCTTACCACTGACGCACACCTGGCACCAACCAAACTTTTCAGAGCCAGGCTGAACATTTAGTTTACTGGGGCCTGGTTAGCTGCTTTAGCTAGTTTAAGTTATTGGAATGCTCTGTGTGTTTTAGGTTTGGTTTTAAAATTTGAATGGAATTTTTTTTACAATTTTTTATATTGTGGTGCATTTTAGGTTGCATTTTGATGGGTTGTTTTGAACACCCCAGAGGGCTTTGGATATTGGGCAGTATAAAAGTATCATCATCTTCTTCTTCATCTTCATCATCATCCTCTCATTGCTTTTCCTTACTCCACAGATTGTGGGCAACTGAAAACAAATTCTGCACATAGGGGCCAGCCAGCCTGCAATGGGTCATGGCCTTGGCAAGTCCATATTTTTCGAGGTGGCTACCCTATTTGTGGGGGCGCCCTCATAACTGATGAGTGGGTGTTGTCAGCAGCTCACTGCTTCAGGTACGTATCAGATATATGTTGTCGCAAAAAGCTGCAGAAAGTTTCACCTTCCGGGCAGCTGCTCGGCCAGAATCATATTCTACCATTGATCGGCCTAGCATGTTGGTCTCGGTAAAGCAGGGTCGGAGCTTCAAGGAGCAGAAACAGCAAATGGCTGGTTAGCACGTGGAGGAGAGAACAGAGTGTTGGGCCTGGAGGTATGCTGGCAATCAAGACATGAAGCCGGCAAGTAGAAACACACTAGCAATTGCTGGCTGTTCAGTCACACAAGTAGTGCAAGAGCAGCTAGGACTGGGCCTGAGAGCTAATGATTCAAATGGAGGAGTGAGGCTCAAGTCAGATGCTTTATGCAACTGAGTGGAATGTCATGGGCCTCTTGTGTCACTTGGTCTCACCTGACCTGGGAGAGTTGCTGGTGGGACAGAAGTCCAACAGCAGAACTAAGACCTTCAGCTGCTTTTTCTGGTGATACAGAAACTGCAGGCGTGAGCTTCAGTGCTCCACAGCTTGGGATAAGGAAGCCTTCTTGCTTGCAGACTCAGGGCAATGCTAGATGAGAAAGCAGAGATCTCTGAAGAAGAGGAAGAAGGTAAGCCTCAGGTTGCCCCACTGGAGATAATCTACCAGTGCTAGCAGGAAGTTTGAATTATATCTAGGCTGCTTCCAGTTGAGACTTGCATTGTGCCATTGACCCACCTCATTCATAAAACATTCCATGGGCATGCATGTCCAAATGACGTTTTCTTCTTGTGACCCTCCCATGATTCTTCCCTCACAAAATCTGTAGCAGAATCTATCAAGGAAGAAAGGGTGGACGCATTCCAAAATGCCCTCTCATTTGTTAGCACCTGATAGGCAACTTTGGAACCCACTCTGTCAGTGCAGAAACAGTCCCACCTTACAAAAGTCTTGGACGACGAGTTGCAGCCATCTAAGCATTTGTCCCAGAGCATGAGAAGAAGCTGAGGTTCTATCTATGCTGGCAGAAATGGTGTTTTCCCCTCCCACACCTTCTTGGAAGGCCCCCCACCTCCAACTCCTCCAAGGTCACTCTTCCAGCTTCAGATCCTCAGCCTCTGTGGTGTTTTCTGTACCAGATGCCCATACAGACAAGGTGCTATGAATTCAGCAGTAAGGAGAGCCATTCCGGATGAGGCCAGGTATCCATTTAGTCGAGTGTTGTTTTCACGCAGTGGGACAACCAGACGTCCACGAGAAGCTCAGCTTCTCAAACTCCTGTTGCATTTTCTCTTGTGTTCACAGGTCCACTGCCACCTATTACTATACACTGATTCTGGGTGTCCATGAGCTCTCAAACCACACCAATGCCATGGTAGAATCCAACGTGCAAAAAATTATCCTACACCCGGACTATGATGGCAAGGCTGCCTCCAGTGGGGATATCGCTTTACTTAAACTGCTGACTCCTGTGAAATTCACTGACTACATCTTCCCCATCTGCCTGCCCAACCCTTCCATACAGCTTCCTCAGAAAACAGACTGCTGGGTCTCTGGATGGGTAGATACTCAAGGAGGAGGTGCGGGTTGTTCTTTGTGGTGCTTATCCAGACTCCTCTGACCTTGATGCCATCACTGTTGATGGTGCTTTGCAGGATAACAGGAGGTGCAAAAAACCACAAGCTTCCTTCCTGAAGGAACTCATAACAGGATCATGGAAGAAGCAATATAGCAAAAGATAGATTTGAGCTAGTCCACTTATACACAGCCAAACTCCTTTGGTGAACACAGGAGCTTATGTCAGATTCATCACAGAGATGGTAGTAACCAGGTTTCCCTGTGCCATGTGGTCTCCCTCTCAGCCTAAGTGTATTTTCCATCATAGACGGGTGCTGTGGGCTTGCGAGCCCCAACAAGAAATATTGACAAAGCTCTCTGAAGCCAAGCTCAGAAACAGAGGCTACTTATCGGCCATTTTGAATAGGTAAACTGGGCTGGCACCAGGCTTAGCAGCCTGGAGCAGAGCAGTGGAATGGATGGTGGTGACCACAACGTAACTCAGAAAATCGGGGCAGTGCCTACTTCCTCCTGGAAAACACAGGAAAAACCCATAGTCAGATAACTTCGGACAGGTCACCCACCTTTGAACTCTACTCTCTCTGCTCTAAGTTCTCACTGATTGGGGCAGCAGAGAGATGGGACACAGTAGATCATGTGGTGGGCCCTTGGAAGCCTTGTGGCTGGGATAGAGGAACAGGACATCATGGAAAGGCCATTCAGCCTCATGTCAACCATCACCAGTACTCAACTTTCAATTTCTCCAGGCAAATCCCTCCAGAGAGCATTGAGAACCAGCTCTTTAGAAAGTGTCCTACTGAAACAATTTAATAAACAACTTCATATTCTCTTTTCTTATGGGATTACCCACCTGCAGTCAACCTAAAAGAGAATACTTGAGACCCAAACAGTTTTAAGGTTGCTTTGGCAGAGGCAGTAAGAGGGAGAAAGGAAAAGAGATTTCCACCTGGTAGCTGCAGAAGGGACCTCCAAAAGGGAAGGGCAAAATGAAGTGGGACACACTATTCAGCCTGATCTCCTCCAACACTGAGAACTGGGGACTGTTGGTGATAGGAAGATGGCTTTGTATCTGGCATTAGAAGCTGCCAATTGGGACAGTGCCCAGCTGGTTTCGGGGAGAAGGGCGTGGGGCTCTGTGCTTGATGCACAAGTTCACTAGTTAAACCCTGGACAAGTCTAACTTCTGAATAATATGGCTTCTGGATATGAGTCAGTGGCTTGCAAAGATACCCAAGTGTAGAGAGGGTCCATACATGGTGTGCTCATTTCTCAGATTGCATCTGCCCATTGATAGGTACCTCTTTCTCTTGACCATTTTTGCATTGCTCCCTCCTGCAGAGCCATTGCCAAATCCATTTGCCATGCGGGAAATGAAAGTGTCACTCATAAGCCGAGGCACCTGCAACAATCTCTATAAAGCTGATGCACATGGCACATTGGATAAGGATCCTATCAAGCCTGATGAGATCTGTGCTGAGTACCCAGAAAATGGGAAGGATGCCCACCTGGTAAGATGCTCCATAGTTTATCTGTGGTGGACAGATAGAACCCAGACCTTGCTGGAGAAGGCCCCAGCCTGGCTAAATTCTAGAGAGGCAAAATGCAAATGAGGACAGGGCTACTGCACATTTAAGGGTTGTGTAGAAGAGGCATCACAACAGGTGTTGCTTATATGACGGTTAAAGCTATACAGACCTGTTCTCGTTCAGGTCTGGGATTGCTGTTTTATTCTCAAGAACAAGCACTTCAGAAATGAAATCCAATCTATCAGATTGCTTTAATCACTGTCAAGATTGCTGTGAGCCTCCTTGGGTGCCTTATTTTAGTAGAAAGGTGGGATTAAAATGGGCATTGTTGCAATTGTGCTTCCTTACAACTTAGCCTCCATCCACTCACACTTTTCCTTGGCCTTTCAGGCCCACACTCAAATGGAGAGGATGGAAACCTCCGGACCCATAAAGCTTCCCCATATTGTCCTGATCCTGTATTGCTTTCTGCAACATCATAGCCTCACTATTTTCAGTACAGCAATGGGTTAAAGCTGAGGGCATGTTGGCTTACCTGAAGCCGCTTAATGAGTATGTGGCTAGGGTAAGAGCTAGCATCCCTACTGTGATATGAAAGTGTCTGCCAAAGATATCTGCGATCTTCCATCACCTATCTCCACAGGCTGACTCTGGTGGACCCTTGATTTGCAAACTCAATGGAAGCTGGACCCAGGGAGGGATTATGAGTTGGGAGACACCCAAACTTCCTGCTGTCTACACTTCTGTGTCCTCCTATACCAAGTGGATCCATGAGATGATGACCAGTAAAAACTGGGGTGATGCTAACGATGCCCCCATTGCAATAGTCTTCTTGATGTTCCTCCCAGTAGCCCTCCTGTGAATCATCTACTTCTCTGCTTTCAGCCCACCAACTAAATCCAAAGAGAATCATTATGCAGGGTGTTGGTGAAATGCAACCTGACCCTCTCTTCCCTCTGATTTATTTTGAATTTATCTGAGCTACCTATTTCGATTCTAAGATTCAGAGAAGCGTTACATGATGTGGGCTACTGCACAAAACCATTGCAATTGCGACATGGAGAGAATACCGAGAAAGATTTCTTAGTCTTTCGCTAAGGTCAAGTGAGATAAAGGTGGGATTTGCTAACCATAAACAGGAGCATGATAACCTCAAATTAGTTATTGGCTTGATACTATTTTAATCCTGAGTGAACAAACCAGGCCACTATCATTTCTTTGAATGCTGAAAAGGCCTTTGACAAAATGGACTGGAAATCTATTTTCACTACATTGGCTAATTTTTGTTTTCCTTCTGAACTTCTGAAATGGATTAAACTTCTCTATTCTGCTCCTAGAGCCACAGTTATGACCTTCAGGCTTCTTTTAGTTGGGAGAAGTACCATACAGGGAAGCCCACTTTTTCCATTGATATTTGACTATGTAATCAATAGGTTATTGCTTTGGCATGGGTTTAGAAATGTGCATAAAAGGGCAACCAAAACAATAAAGGGTTGCCATGTGAGGAAAGATTGCCAGATGCAAGATGAGAAAAATGGAAATGAACAGGAAACGTAAAGATTTATAAAATTATAAATTATAATTCCTTATTAATTTCATTTATTTAATGTGATGCATATTTATTTGACTATCACTGCAGACACATAATTGTCTGAATACAACTGAAGCAGCTCCACAATTAAAGTTGGATGGCTATATAGGAACCAACTGAAGTCAAGAAAATAGAATAACTTTTATGTAAATTATGTGCCCTGCTCTTTGATGCACACCTTAACATGGTGAAGGGTTTCAGAGTGTCAAAAAAGCCAAGATCAATGTTGTCAGAGGGCCAGAATAGTCTCACCAGGCTGGTCTCCTAGTAGGGCCACCCATGGCAGAATGGTCAAGGGTGAGACACCAGACTAAGATGCATCCACCCTCTTCAGGAATAGTGGTCACATCAGCAATAAGAGAATGGATCTCATTAATGCTGATGGTGGTGAAGAAACTCCTGAAGGGCAGCTTCTGGGCAGTAACAGTTGTTGAAGGGTAACACTGCTGGTGGATCTTTCACAGACAATTGCAGTGACCATCTCTGCTTAGCAATGCACAGAAGACAGATGTGGTAATCCACTTCTCGACTTGCTTACCTTGAAAATTCTATGATGAAACAATCCAAAATGAAACCAGAAAAGATGAGAAGATAATACCCTCAGGATGAAAGACATTTTATGGGTTACTGGGGATGGACACAGGACAAATACCAGTACCACTATTCCTAATAATTCTACTAGATCAAACTTGAAAGGAAATCTAGTGGCCAACCTGCAGAGAGGTGAAAGGAAAGACTGATGCTTAAAATTGGGACATGGAATGTGAGAAGAATGAACCAAGGCAAGCAAGAAACCATAAAGCAAGAAATGGAAAGAATGAACATAATTTGTAAGTGAACTAAAGTAGAGTGGAATGGGACATTTCAAATCAAGCAAATACCAAGTGTTTTACTCCTGAAGAAATGGAGTTGCTCTAATACTTAAAGAAAAATGTATCACAGAAAGTAAAGTCATAATGCAAAATCCAGCTGAATAATGTCAGTCAGAATTAGTGGAACACCTAGCACCATAACCATCATTCAAGCCTACACTCCAACAACAGATGCTAATTAAAAAGAAATAGGTAACTTTTATGAAAATGTTCAAGAAGAAATTGAACAAGACATTCTGATAATCTTAGGTAGCTGGAATGCAAAAGTAGGAAGCAAAGCAGAATCAAATGTTGTAGGAAAATTTGGCCTAGGTATAAGAAATGAAGCAGGAGAATAACTCATAGAATTTTATGAAACCTGCAACCTGTTCATTGCAAACACATAGTTCAAGCCACCACTCAATTGATTTAAGTGTGCTATTATTTGGAAAGTGAAGGATGACTGGAGTTTTGCACAATTCTGCTATACCATGGCACTACCTAGTGGTTGTGCAATGGAACCTATAGAAAGAGAAGATCCCCTGGCAGTGGAATGGGGCAGACCCATGCAAAGCACCCCATCTTGATCCTACAAGGAATACAGAAGCAGAAAACTTGGTAAAGTGACAAGTTAAAAACCTCATGCAAAGAAATGCTGTCATTTTTGCCAAGTGTCATCAAGTCATCTCCAATTTACAGCAATTCTATGAATGGAAGTCTTCAAATTTTCCCTTCCCTGACATCCCTGTGTAGCAGTTCCAAATTCAGGGCTGTGGCTTCCTTTAGAGAGTCCATCTGTCTCCTGTTTGCTCTTCCCTTTCTTCTTCTACCTTTGTATTTCCCAAGCATGATTGTCTTCTTCTGCAAGTCCTGCCTTCTCATGACTTGTCCAAAGCAACTCCACAGTAATAATTTTTTAATTGTTCTGAGTTGCATAGCTGCAGTATTTACTCTTCCCATGTTTAAAACATTTAATTTGCTCCAATGCAGATATGGATCCTGCATCCACAACACTTGCCCTTTCTGATCCTTATTAAGCAGCCAGGGCGAGACTGGCCAAAAGGGAAAGGTTTTTTTCCCTGAACAAGGATTATTCAGTGCTTCCTTGTTCCTCAGACCACAGGCAACCATTGTTACCTTGTTAGCATTGTTAGTCTATAGGACTTTGTGACTTCAAGATGTACTAGAATTTAGGTCACTTCATCCTCACTCAGCACAGCCAAGAGGATCAACCCTTGCTCTGACCAACAGATGTCACAGCCAATCTCTGCTTGCTAGAACAAAAGCTAGAGTCAAAGCAATAAAACCTATAAATGCATGCATACTTGGACATTTGCTGTGTATAGAAAAGGACATGGCAGTCTCAAGGGGAACCAGGCTGGAATGGAATATGGGTACTCTGCTGCTTTCAAAACTTTGCTAGCTCAGACTGGCCAGGATGGAGATGAGCAAGTAAATGTGCAGCATGGCAGTGTTTAATTTAAGTGTCCTCCTACTTCGTTTTGGACCCATAATGTACTGCATGCTTTGTACCTGGGAGGTTTGGACCCAAATGAATTGTTGTGTCAGCTGATGAAATGCCCAGTGACACGGTGGAGGCGCTGTCATGAGTTCACCATCTCTTGTGCATGCATGCATGCATGCCGATTCATGCATGTGCGTGTTCCTGGTGTGTGCAGACAGCCAGATTTGTGCACATACAAAGATGCACACTTCCATGAGTCTGAAAGGAAAAGACTCATCTGTACAGCATCTGAGTGGGCACAGGCTGTCAAGATCCCCACTGTGGCTCCACTTTCCATTTTGCTTTCCTGTGACAGATGCCAAAAGCCAAGTTAACTTTGCTTATGAAAGGGAGAGGGCTGTAGATTGCCTCCTTCAGGTGCCGCCTTCTATTTTCTATGAGGTTTTTCTGGGTGGGTCTTTTCCCTGCCTTTCCATAGGTTCCATTACACAACACCTCGCTGGCCCAGCAGTATCACAGAGTCGCACAAATGCACAAGCATTTGCTGGTATTAGGCCCTCCCTTGAGCTATAAAAAGTCACAGAAATAGTTGCCAAGGAAGGGAAAGACCAAGACGTCATGTAAATTACCTGCAAGCTACCTTATATGAGGAATCATGAGGACCAAGAAACGCCTTTCATGGAGCAGTTCTTACAGGATGAGCGCTTCTCTGAAATTGTTAAAATACCTAGTCAAGTGATTAGTTGCTAGAAAATAGTCCTCATACCTTTCTGCTGGCAGGGACCAGTGTGGAATTTAACTGGGGACTCACTGGCACCTAAAACGGCTATCACAGTTTGGAACATGCAGGATTGATCACTACTCGGACAAAGTGATGTGACTGACATTGAGCTAAGCGGAGTTTAATAAGGCAGCTGGAAATTGCTAACTTCAAGACTTGAAGGAAGAACAGGCAAGAGGTAGGTGCCTCCGCAGCTTTTGCTAAGAGTAGTTCCATTTTCCTCATGTTTCTCATGGACCTGGTTTGCAAATTGCAAAAAAGCTACCAAGAGGTCATTTCCCAGTGGGGTCTGCC